CTCTGACGCGCACGGCTCTCTCTAAAACAAAAACAGACAGGCGAAGCGGGGGTGAAACATCCAGCCGCCGCGATCGACGGGGCATTGCTCCAGACCTCGGCCTCTTGGCCCCTGGTGTAGGCGAGTGCCTCCTCCTCCTCCTTTTCCTCCTCCTCTCCCTCCTCCTTTTTCCTTACTCCTCATCGATCGAAGTGAACAGAAAGTGCCTCGTGCGGGCGAGCGGGCCCTCGGCGGGAATGCCGCTTAAATTGCCCTCCTCCTCCTCCTCCTCCTCCTCCTCCTCCTCCTCCTCCTCCCTGGGCCTTCAAGGCTTCCCTGGGCCTTTAAAGGCGAATGCACCTCTGACGCGCACGGCTTCTCTATCTCAGCAAAAAATGCGGCAAATGCACCTCTGACGCGCACGGCTTCTCTGTCTCAACAAAAAGTGGGTGCAACTCGGGGCGTTTGCGGTTGGCGCGGCGGCCTGCGCTCTTGGGCGGCCCGGAACCTCGCCATCCGCCGCCTCGTCATCTTGTTCCTCATGTCATCCTATTCCTGATAACCTATTCCTGATAAGACCCAAACCCCTGAATCCTGAGCCCCCCGATGTGGAACAACAATCGGCCGATTCGTGGGGACTTGTCCTCCTCCCTTTTTCCTGCTCCTCCCCCTCCCTCCATGATGATGATAATGATGATTGCATGCAATCCCTTATGGGTCAGGGATGACTTTCTGGAGCAGCGTGATGTAAAAAGTGGGTCCAGCATGGCAGCTCTTAGCTGCAGTCCCCATGACCCTATTTTCTTGCTCGTCTCTGTACGTCCAGTACCATCTGGGGTTGCCGTGCCTACCTGCACGGCGGACTAGGCACCAACAAGCGTGGTGTTTGTAAACCTCATGTCCTCCCCACAACTTCCAAAAATGCAAAAATTTCACCATGGAAGATTGCATTGTGGTCAAACCCGCAGCGCTCATGCGCCGTGGTTCACGCTTCATGATGACATGAACTTTGTTGAGTTCCTGAGTAGCCAAATACAAGAAATTACCGCCTTCGCCGAGAAACTGCAAATTCTCGCGGCAGAGGTCGACGAGCAAAGGCAACAGATTTCGAGTTTCTGCTGCCTTTGCTTTTAAACGTGGACCGTCATTCGCTGTCGGCGACAGCATCTTCCAAGTCACTTTGTTAATGCAGGAGTATTTACCACGAGCAAACGCTCTCGTCCTATAGTATGCCTTCAGACGCCGATTGAGGTGGATCAAATTCGTAGTCCTGCGGGCTGCCACGGTTGAGGACAGGGGCCAACAAACACCTGACCCTTGCTTTCGCACGCCACCGTCATGTTCAGTCCCCTGGGGCCCCCTGGGCCCCCCCCCCATGGGAAATGCCTTCAGGCGCCAGGCGTTTGCTGCCCCTTGGCTTTATTGCTGTGGGCGAAATTGCCTTCTATCAAATAATAAAACACGGCCCCTGCGAGGAATTGCAAAACTCCTAAATCAATAACGTGCATGGAATCCACATGTACAGTTTCCATGGTGAGGCCTATTATAGAAAAAAGTACACACACCATGTTCAGAGGGCCGATTTGTTTGGTATCCCAGAAAGACACCATAAGGCCATCCTCAGGCACCTCGAGGTCCCCCACTCCGTGAATATCTCGCACGTTCTCATCGGCAATGAGCTTGTGCCCAGCAAGAAGGTTGAGCTCGGGGAAATCTTCATTCAAACCCAACCCTCCAAACTTTTCATCAAACGTCATTTTCGCCAGAAGACGCCGCAACTGTGCTTTTGATGCCACCATTCTTTTTGTCAAACATTGCAGGACACCCCTTGTATAATCAGCGGCGTTTCTTTCTGCCCATTGACACGATCTGATCGAATGCGCGAAATTGAACATGTCATCCCTCTTAGCGTGGCAAAACATACATGGGTGTTCGGGGTTTGACCACGTCTTCAAACCCAGCGATGACACTAGCTCCAATAAGTCTGCGCGGAACTCGCAAACTGCACCGCACTTCCCACCAGCGAGAGTAAAACCACGCTGCGCAGCACGTGCCTCATTCAAGAACGGGTCGCCGTTGTGATCGGCTGCTGGCCAGCGGCCAGTGGCCATCTGGTTGAAACTCCACGCCTGATGGGGGCCCAAGGTGTGCATGCGCAAATGTCAGGAGCTCCTCGTCGACCCTTCTCGGCGTCCCCCCTCCCCCGTCGAGGAAGACGTGGGGGGGTGGCCGCGACACCGAGGAGGATCCACTGGAGAGCCCCGAAGATTTGCGCGTACACATGTTGGGCTCTGGACCAAGACGCGTTGCACAGCTAGAATACTGCAGGTGCCTTTACAACAGCACTGGCAAAGGTCAGATTTCTTCAAAGCACAGATCAGCGTTCGTCGCCCAGTAATGGTATTCGACCAATACCAGCAAATGAAACCATCTTTTTTTGAAAAGGGAACCCCGTCGGAGTAAAGACCAACAGGGACACACAGGTCCCCTTTCTCCAAGCGGACGGGGTGGCCATCATAAGTCCCAGGGCGAAGTTCAGGAGCCAGACGTCCCACGTCGAATTGCAACGGGTCCTCCTCATATTGGGCAGCAAAGGCCTCGTGAGGCAGATAGAACGGAAATCGCAGCATATATCTGGTTTCCGTGTTTTTGTGCCAAGCTGGAATATCCGCAACATAGAAATCGTGTTCCGAAGGGGCTCCAATGGCCTGTCGCGGGGAGCCAGAACCAATGCCCCCCAACCCCAATTTCCCCCTCTTGATGCAAAGGGGTCTGGACCCAGACAGTGACGAGAGGGTTTGGGTCTGGGCCCCTTCGCTTCAAGACGGCGTGGTCGAGGGGGTTCTTGTGTCCAGCTCCCCGCCTGTCGTAAATGAGCAGCGTGGTGGGTTGACCCAGGGGGGCGGGCCAAGTCGCCCACTCCAACAGCTCCAGCCTTGACCGAATAGTGCGCCAGCAAACAGACGTCGGTAGCGGTCATTTTTCCACTCCTGTATCTCTCAAGCAGAAATTTCCGCAATCCGGAGCCATCTGGGCGATCTTGGTCATCTGGCGGGTCACGTGGGGGCGACGGGGCAGCAGCAGAAACGACGTGGGCGCCACCACGTCTCATATTCTCCGCGGCACCACGCGTAGCCAAAATAGCAGCTCCACGTCTGGATGACATTTGGCACAAGCTGTAGTGATCCAAACCCCGATACTTACGAGAGCCTCCACGTCCTTCCCCCTGTTGCTCAGAAAGCGTGGGCTGGGAGAGGGAGGTGGTAGCCCTGCTGTACATCGGGGCTTGGAGGTCAAGGGCGTGAGGGGTCAGCACCTTCAAAAAGCTCGAGCGGGCGTGGTCTACGGAAATTCAAGCGTCGATGCACGGTTACCATCGCGCCCCCGAAGCCCCTTGGAAAGCCGAACTTCGCGCGTCGAAGCACGGTCACCTTTGCGCTCTTGAAGTTCCTTGTCAATTGGGGCTTAGCATCGCGTATCACACAATGCATCATTACAATTTACTACACACTCGCGTAGCATCTAACATACCGTTTGAAATCCATCACCACTGTGGCCAACATGGCGGCTCCAAGTCTGGATGACATCACCACTGGCACAATCTATAGGACGAGTCAAACCCCGATGCTTACCATAACCACCTAGATTCCCCCTTCTTGCTCAGAGAGCGTCGACTGGAGGAGCGAGGTAGGTATGGTGATTATCGGGGTTTGGACGTTCGTCGAACGCGGGGATCAGCTCTGAATCACAAATTGCTTGAGCTGGGATGGGCTTCAACATGTGTGTGGGGGGGAGGGCGAGCCTCAGCGTGGCCAGGATGTCTGTGCCTCTCTACCTGGATACACATATATATGTATCTATATATATATATATATCAATGTAGGTGTCCGTCTATGTGTCCATACATGTATGAATACCTCTCTCGCTCTATACGTATGTGTATATAGGTATACATATATACACACATCTAGATCTCAGTAGCATGCCCTATCTATCTGCCGATGTCTTTTCTATCGACGTGTCCATGTTTCTAGCTGCCATCGCGATCTCTTCATCCATGCATTCATACATATGCCGATCCATCAATATGTATCTGGATGCTCCCTCAGGCCTGAACTCCGTCAGTGCCGAACTCCGTCAGACCTGGACTCCGCCAGACCCCAACTCGTATCTCCTGCCTGCTCATGCGCACGTTTCCCGAGCTCGCCGTCGTCTCGCGCAGAGTTCGTATCAATGCAGCTGGCGCGCCCTGGAGTGGAGAGAATGGGAGGGGATGGAGGCCACGGGATGAGAGATGAGAGGGTGAAGGAAAGGGGAGGGTGAGGGTGAAGTAGCATTACTAGCACATCGTGCTAGCTGCCCCTAGCCGCCTGCATTGGGCCCCTGCCCAACAGCATGGGCGGTCTTCAAATTGACGGCACTGCGCTGCTCTGATATCGTCGTTCCTCTGACGCCGACCTTGGCCTCACGACGATGTGTCCTTCCTCTTCTTCCCCTTCTCCCCCGAGTCCCCTCTCCTCCTCCTCCTCCTCCTCCTCCTCCTCCTCCTCCTCCCTCCTCCTCCTCCTCCCTCTCCTGCTGGGCGCCGCGGCTGGGCGGCGCCCCCCACATGCCGATCGTCTCGCGATCACTTGTTCTTGATCGCCTTGTTTGCGTTGCTGACGGACTGCTGGATCGGCATGATGTTCGCGTAGAGCGTCTCGGCCTGCCACTCTCCAGGGGAGGGAGGGCTCAGCCTCCGCCTCCTCCTCCTCCTCCTCCTCCTCCTCCTCCTCTGTATATCCTGCCATGCACTATCATACCATGCATTCAGAACTGCGAGGTCGAGGGCACTAGGGGGTGGAACGGAGCGGCGAGAGAAAAAGGGGAGGGATCACGTAGAAGGACGGTGATGGTCCATTCCCGAGCTGCCTCGTCGTACTTCTCCTTGCACTCATTGATGTCCAGGTTCCCCTCGTTGCCCTGGAGAAGACAGGTTGCTTCAAACGCTGGGCTTATGTGGGGAGGAGGAGATCGCGAGCCTCGGGGATCCCCGCGTTGTCGAAAGCCTCATCCCACGTAGCACTCAAGATCTCCATCTCATCGCGAGCATCGGGCACCCCCGCGATGTCCAGAGCCGCATCCCACGTGAGGCTCACGATCTCCGTCTCCACGCGTTCCAGCCTTGCCAACAACTCGTCCACACTCAACGTATCCTGCAATATGGCGCAACATGCTCGATAGACGTCCCCCCTCCCCCTCCGCTGCTCTCACCGTCACCATTCCTTATGAAGAGGTATCCTGCACGAGGGCGATCAAGCTCTTCTCGCACTCCTTCAGGGCGCCCTGGTTCTCGACGAGCTCCTTCGACCATGGACTGAGCCATGGCATCTCTTTCACCTCCCCTCCTATCTCTGCGACGCGTGGGGGGGAGGATGAGGAGTAGGAGGAGGAGGTTGAGGAGGAGGAGGACGCGTGGAAGGGCATATCTCCTCCTCCTCATCACCCTCCTCCTCCTCCTCCTCCTCCTCCTCCTCCTCCTCCTCCTCCTCCTCCTCCGCTGCACGCTCACGAACTGCACTATCAAACCGCACGGGTCCCATGTGCAATGGCACGCCCTCCACGCCCAACCGTCCAGCCAGAGAGAATCGCCGAGAGCTTCGCCACGTTGCCCAGTAAGTCCTGAGCTGCATCATGCTGAGGGCCCTTGGAACTCGACCCACGCGACTCGAGAGAGCCCTTGCCCCTCGGGGCAGGTGTCTCCTCGGGCTCCGACTCCGAATAAGAGTAGCTGGAGTCGCTGCTGTCGTCAGCCTCCCCTCTGACCGCCGATCGCAGAAGCACGCAAGAACATCCACGACTCATCCACGCCTCGAGAAGCAACACAAGCATGCATACACGTATGCACATGCAAAGTCATTTCTCCCCATATCCTTTCCTTCCTCCCCCCCTATCCTCCACCATCCCGTCCTGCACGGCGTGCTTCGCCTCGTTCATGGTGCTCTTGCCCTGCATGGTGGTCTTCAGCTCCTTCTCGTTGTGCTGTGGGATGTGGCAGGGGTGGCGCAGGCCTCATCGATACCCCTCGCTCCCTGCCCTCTTGTCTCCTGCCCTCCACCTCCTCCTTAGATGCCATCCTCACCGTCGGTTCCCCTCATCTCCATCCCTTCCCCCTACAGGCATCGTGTGGGAGAGCGAAAACGCGCTCTCCTGCCAGGACTCCTCCTCGATGTCGAGGCGTTTGTAGGTCTTCTCACCGTTCTGCGGGTCGACCTCCCCTCGGGCCCTCGATCGCCGCGAACATGCCGGACGCCCGAGCTCGAGCATCACCCTCGAAAGAGGTTGAACTGCGCCTCTGGTTTCCGTCATCCCCTCCGTACTCTTTTATTCCTCCCTCCCGATCCTTATCCTCGCTGCTCTCCTCCATCTTCCCTTTCCTCGTCATCTCAGCTCGATCCGATCGATATCCACCCCCATGCGACCCCAACATGTCCACGGAGCTTCTCGCACGTGGCGATGGTGGCCTCCGTGCGTGCAATAGCCCTGTCGATAGAGATTCATGTGTATATAAGCGTGGACGTACGACTCAGAGAATCAATCAGCCATACCAGTCCCGCATCATCCCCCGTTCCCCTTCCTCCAAGAAAGCGCATATCACAAAATACGAAGCTCCTCAAGCTCATCTCGCTATCTGGAGTCTGCTGGCAGAAGCCGAACATGAGGAGCAGCTGGTCCCTGGACTTCCAGCAGCTCTTATTCCCCGCGGACTCCACCCTGCGCTTCTTTTCGGCCTTCTCCGCGATGACCCACTCGAAATCACCGAGTGGGGCAAGTGCGAGGAGGTGCAACATGTGGAACGCAAACACACATGATAAGGAGCAGCACGATGAGGAAGAGGAGTACGATGGCTCCTCTTCCTCATCATGATGATCCTTGTCGTGACTCCGAGCTCTCCTGCACCCTGAGCTCCTATCCCGATATCATCTTCCTCATCCTCACTCCTCCTGTCATCATGCCCCCCTGGTCGCCGTGCAAGTCGAACTGCTTGAGCCAGCGCTTCTTCTCGTCGCGGTCGGTCTTGGCGTAGGCGCGCTGGACTTCCTTCTTGTCCATGTCGATGTGGTACCTCCCCGCACACTCCGTATAGCTCCCCTCTCCTCCCTCCCCTCCCCGAGCCGAGCACTAAACTGAACCCGTCCCAGGCGATCTGTGCTCATGTCTCATCTGCTGACGCTTGCGTACGAGCAAGAAACAAAACCGTCCCAGGCGCACCGCATACGAGCCAAGCTCTTCTCGTGCTCAGCGTTCGCCTCCCTCAGGCGCTTCGCCCTCTCCTTCTTTTCCTTGTCCTGGGGGCCGATCGTCGTCGTCCTACGTACGTCGTCGTCCTACGTACGTCGTCGTCGTCGACGTCGACGTCGACGTCGACGTCGACGTCGACGACCGTCCGTCCGTCCGTCCGTCCGTCCGTCCGTCCGTCCGTCCGTCCGTCCGTCCGTCCGTCCGCGTCGTCGTCGCCGCTCGTGCGACGACGACCACCACCACCACGGACACAGTCGTCCTTGGCGGGGTCGTTCTTCTTCCCCGTAGTGCGCTTCGATCCCTTCGGCGGCATCGCCTCCCCTTCCCGCCCCGCCAAAAAGAAGAATCGTGCCTGCAACCTTGCACCATTGCCCCCTCGTGAGTGGCTCGGGTGAGATCGGGCCCATTTGGGTGACTGGGTGGGGGGGCCATGGGCGGGGGCGGAGGGAGAGCGGGTACCGAGGGGGGGGCGTTGCCTATCATGGCCTTGCGCACGACGCACGTGGGCGACATCGGGGCCACGAGGGGGCAATCACGCGGCACGTGTGTGCCACCAGTGCGGGCGTGTATACGTGCGTATGAAAAACACGAAAAACATGACAAAACACGAAAACACGAAAAACATGACAAAACATGACAAAACATTACAAAACATGATGAAAACGTGAAAACACGAAAACACGAAAAACACGAAAACATGACAAAACATGACAAAACATGACAAAACATGATGAAAACATGAAACACATGAAAACACGAAAACTGGAAAACATGACACAACATGACAAAACATGACAAAACATGATGAAAACGTGAACACACGAAAACACGAAAACGGGAAAACATGACAAAACATGACAAAACATGACAAAACATGATGAAAACGTGAAAACACGAAAACGGGAAAACATGACAAAACATGACAAAACATGACACAACATGATGAAAACAGGAAAACATGAAAACGCGAAAACATGAAAACATGAAAACATGAAAACAGGAAAACATGACAAAACGTGACAAAACATGACAAAACATGACGAAAACGTGAAAACGTGAAAACACGAAAACATGAAAACGTGAAAACACGAAAACACGAAAACATGACAAAACATGACAAAACAGGACAAAACATGACGAAAACGTGAAAACGTGAAAACACGAAAACACGAAAACATGACAAAACATGACAAAACAGGACAAAACATGACGAAAACGGGAAAACAGGAAAAACACTATAGAAAAACGAAAAACACGATAGCACAAACACAGCACATGATAGCATGGGGGCAGTTACATTTAACATAATAACGCATACTATGTGTACACACACCTATATTTATACATACATATGCGCATACACTGGAATCGGGCGCCCGCGCGGGGGCAAGTGTGGCCAACTGTTCCCTCCCGCGCACCCCCCTGGTCACCCCGAGCGCCCAGTCTTCTTGAGGCGCTGGCCCAAGCCCAGGCGCAGGCAACCCTCGAGGCAAAACTGCCTTGTGCTGCCCGTTCTTCCCCCTCATCCTCCTCCATCCTTCTCCTGCCTACTCCTCCCTCCTCCTCCTCCTCCTCCTCCTCCTCCTCCTCCTCCTCCTCCTCCTCCTCCCGCCTCCTCCCGCCTCCTCTTCCTCCTCCTCCTCCTCCTCCCCCTCCCCCTCCTCCTCCTCCAGATGCTGGCCCAGGCACAGGCAGGCACGCTCGAGGCACAACATCGCCGTGTGCTGCCTTAAGCATGTTCCCCCTTGTCCTCCTCTCTCCTCCTACTCCTCCCTCCTTCTCCTCCTCCTGACTTGTTTGGGTACGGTCCACCTCCTCCTCCATCTCCTCCTCCTCGATCTCTCTCTTGCCCCTCCACCCCCGCCACTTTCTCGCCCCCCCATCCTGCTCCGCAACAGCTGAAACCATAATGGGCCCTTTTCGGGCCCCAGTGTTGAACCTACAATGGGTCCTTTTCGGGCCTCAGTGCTGAACTTGTCGGGGCTTTGTGCTGAACCTATGTTGGGTCAGTTTCGGGCCTCAGGCCTTTGAACCTATAATGGGTCCGTTTCGGGCCTCTGTGTTGAGCCCGTTTCGGGCATCACATCGGATCCTTCAGCCCCTCCCCCTTTATCACGTTATTCCTCCACCAATCCCGTTTTCACTCTATTCCTCTATCCATCTATCTTTCCATCCCGTCTGCTGCTCCTGTTGCTGCTGCTGCTGATGTGGATGTTGCTGCTGATGCTCTTGCTGCTGATCCTGGTGCTCTGTCCGAGCATGCTGCTCCTGCTGCTGATGTTGGTGCTGCTGCTCCTGCTCCTGATGCTGGTGCTGGTCTTGCTCGTGCTCGTGCTCCACGCACGCTCGCGCCATTCCTTTCTCGAACGAGACTAGGGCGCCTGTCCATCAGGCTTGCAAAATGCATACCCTAGAAATCCAACAGCGCTGATCGCAGCTCATCATCCTCGGCGCCTGTCCACCAGGCGTGCAACATGCATTAACTCCAACAGCGCTGATAGCGCATCATCCGCGGCGCCTGTCCACCAGGCTTGCAACATGCATGCCCTATTACTCCAACAGCGCTGATCGAAGTGGATCATCCTCCCACCATCCTCCCCGTCCTCCTCCCATCATCCTCCCCATCATCATCCCATCATTCTCCCCAGCACCATCCCATCATCATCCCACAAAGCACCCGCCAGCCTGGAGCCTCACCCCTGAGCCTGAACCTCAGATGATGACCACGCTCGAGATCGGCATCTTCGAGTAGTAGTCCATCATCTCCCCAACACGGGCATCATTATTGAATCGTGCTCCTCGTCCTCCTCTTAACCCTCCGACGCCGCCTCCTCAGATTCTTCTTAACCATCCTCGTAGCCTTCACCGTCATCGTCCTGTTAACCATCTGACGCCTCCTCCTTCTCCTCCTCCT